GAACACCTAAGGGAAATGAACTATATCAATGCGATGACATAGTGAGTTTGAAGAAAGTAGTCTCTATAAAAGACCCATAAAAGGATCACAAAGTTGGGCCGTGGATAGTACTTATTGGCATAACAAGTTTGTCAATAAGTACTAAGTTTTCCAGACCTTTAAGTTGTTCACCATAAGCCCGGGGCATCTTACAGTACATGGTTTATCTAAGAGGCTCTTTACTCAGTGGAAAAGACCATATTGGGTTTTGCAGTAAATTGGACTACAAATTTATGAAGTTCAACATGATATCTAACAAGCCAATCCTCTAGAAATTATGCATGTGCAACAGTTAAAATGTTTTGTACAAAAGGATCAAGAACAACTAATACCACTTACAAATCCACTAATGCCCTATTTTGATGTTCTTCCAGATCCCGGCCCATCCATGAGAGAACCCTAATGGTCTTCCATCATTTCAAGAGGAGGGGATGATGTGAGGTCATGATGCTATATATTAATATTACTATAGTGGGATTTTCGTAGCTATTGGATTGGTTTTAATTTGGACCACTTACTTTTATAAATAATCTAGGGTTTTTGGGCTAATTGGGATGCATATTTTCTGTATTCTCTTTCCATATTCAATACACTTACAATACCTAAAACTAAGTATATATTTTAGCATATAGAAAACTTTAAATTAATTTTGTTTCTTTTGTTAAATTATCTTATTATTAGAGTGAACTAGTTTTACATTTTATTTTTCTCAACAATAAACTATTCTTATATTAAATTATTTTTTTCTAAAATAATTGATGATATTAACAATAAAACTTACATTAAAATTTTATATAGGATATGCAGAAAATTTACTTTTAAAAGAATTTGTTTATGGTTTTGATTGTTAAGACTTATATAAGAAATTCTATTATTTTTATGAATTACTCATTATGAAACTATTATATAGATATTTATAAAATTTTAAATAGTTATAAATTGATATTTATAATACCTTTTTCTATCAGGGATGTAACAATATTAAAAAGTAGGTAACTCTTTCAATGTGATTTTTTTTTTTTAATTCTAAGAAGTCTTACAATTATTTTATTGTTACTAGTTGTCTATAGCAAAACGTTTCCCAAATCTTGGACATCTGAAAGTTATTTAAGTAATTTATTTTAGATCCAGATTGCTCTTGCTAATATAGTATTTCAAGGTTCATATAGACTATAATGTGGCATAGATATGCAGCAAAAAGTTATGAATAGCATGTGAGTTCACAATCAAAAACACATAATATAGCTACAATCATAGTGATTTTAGTTCTATTTATTTTATCAACCAGCTCAAGATAATTCCCATGGCCTTTATTAAATTTTAGCAATATTTACATTAAAATTGATCCTAGATAGAGAAGAATTGTAAAATTATTATAGTGATTCTAACTATGAATATGTTTCAAGATGCTCATTTGGTAGTATGTTAAAAACAATATAAATGATATGTTGTTTATTTACTATTTATGACAAACCATGACTTGGTTGTAATTTAAACTTGTCATTAGCTGATAAGCTAGGTAAAAATAAAAATACTATTCGCTATTAAAAGCCAATGATTCTAAAATTCTAAAGAATAAATTTCCACATGGAATAATATTATATCACTTAGATTGTATATAAAGGTTTTAAGAAAATATGTATTTTAAAATGATGGTGATATAAAAAATGAAGAATATGCCAAGATCTAATTGAAGTTTTATATTTATTTTTTAGCAAGAAAGGAGATATCAAAAACATATATAAAGCTACACTTTCTAATCAGTTAATGTCACTTTAAATTATGAAAATTTATCATTTTTTTATTGTTAAGATAATTCTTATTTTAGCAATATTAACTGGTATGTTGAAAAAATAATTTTTATTTTTAAATTTCAAAATATTAATTTCAGATGCATTGATCTCGGTACCTATTCCACCCATGGGACAACAAGCAAAGACAGAGGTGGTAACACAAGCAGTCTTAACAAAATCAATTATGAAAGAACCTAATGATTGTAGTCCAACCTGGTGCTGTGCTTTAAGAATACCTCTTTGTTGTGTTTGTAATTGAAATATTATAAAATACTAATCATATCTTTCACTTAAAATTGATTTATGTTTCTGTTAAAGAAACTCCCAGAAATAGATAAGTATACATGTCATAGTAATAACAGTTATGAGTAAGGGTGTTAGGGATGTGCAGACTCAACAATGGCAAGCAGCTCATTTATGTACTCACAAAGTCGCAGTGCCAATGCTCCCTTGGGCTCCTCGACTGAACTGGCAGATATGGCATGGCGTTTGTTCTAAACCTTGAAACTGGTGATATAAGAAAGAAGATCTTTTGGCCTTGGTGAGGTTCGTCCTGCGTTGGAAGATGAATGCTGTCTTCCCAAGGGGAATGTCCGCTATTTTCTGTTTGTTGGCGATGGCAGCGTTTTGCCTAGTCGCTCTAATCCACGTGGCGTACAATAAAACAAGCGAAGTCGTCGGCTTGAGCCAAGAAACAAAGAAACTTCTACAACCTTTCTTCCTCGAGGAAACGATGGACCGATTTGGCGATGCACAGGGCGACTGACTGCGCGGTAACCATCGGGTTCACTCCCAGCGCCGTGGGGAACACGCTCGTATCCGCCACAAACAATCCCGTGGATTCCCACGCTTCCCCTCGGGGATCCACAGCGGAGCTCGCCGGGTCATTCCCCATCCGGCACGACCCCATCTGGTGAGCGCTCGCGGTCGCCATTGCCGCGTGCGTCAGCTGCTTGGAGCCGATGACCCTCAAGAACTTCTCCAGCGCCTTCTCGTCCGAGCCCTCCACGACCAAGCTATCGCCATCCGGGTGCTGGGTCCCGACCTCCACTGCTCCAGCGGCAATCAGCACCCTGATGGCCTTCTCCGCCCCGGCCTTGAGAGTTTTCTCGTCCTCCGCACTTATCGTGTACGTCACCTTCGGGAGCTGGGAGCTCGAGCTCGAGCTCGGACGGACAGTCCCGCTTCCTCGGTCCCTGGTGATGACGACTACGTGCGCAAGGCGGGAGTAGCGCAGCATTTGCTCCTTGAAGCTCAGTCCCGATCGCCAAGGGAACATGACGCCGAGGCCGCCTGGGTAGAAAGCCGGTACCTCAAGAACAGCGTCAGCGATTCTAGAGACCGCAGACATGATCGGCCCGTCCGAAATTCGACCTGCTGGGAGACCCTCTCCCGAAGGAACGTAGCCCCAGAGAAGTTGACTTGGATGGAGGTGGAGATTGGAGCCGATATGACGATTTACCAGTCCACTCTTTTGTAGCAGAACCGGCGTGTTTAAAGCACCGCACGAAGTCACTGTAGCCTTGGCTCTGATGAAGAGGCTTTTTCCACCGCCAGTTGCTATAACTCCTCCAGCCTTCCACTGCTTTGCAGAGCGCAGCTCCCCTGGCTCAAGAAGAATCCTCTCGGCGTTGCAACCACACAAGATCACGGCACCGGCATCCACAGCGTCCATGAGCCAAGTCTCATGAGTCCCCTGCTTAGTCCTGCTCTTGCATCCGAATCCACACAGCCCACACTTGTGCCTTCGGCCTCTGCAATTGGTGGGAATGGTCTCCACGTCGAGTCCAATCTTCTTGCAGCCGCTTCTCAGCACTTTGTTCTGGAAGCTCTCGTGCTCTTCTTCGTTGCCTAGAGTCTCAACCCCGAGTCTTTCACAAACTTTGTCCATTGCGGCCTCGTATTCCTCCGACGTGAAGAGCTTTAGCCCGTGCACTGATGACCACTCCTCTCGGACAGCCTGCGGAGTCCGCAACGAGGCGGCCCAGTTCATGACGGTGCCTCCACCCACTGTCGATCCGGCCATGAGGTTGATGCCGCCATCCGCAGTGGTAAGGAGACCGCCACCTTCGTACATTGCTCGCATTGACGGTCCTTCCAACAGGGAAAGCTGGTCGCCGACGTAGTACTTGCCTTTCTCGATCACGACCACCTTGTATCCCTTTTGAGAAAGAACCCCGGCACATACGCCTCCGCCGCAGCCAGATCCAATCACGACCACGTCGCAGTCTATAGCTAGCATCGCTTGTCCACTGCCACCATCGCCGCCATCACGAACTTCTTCTGAAACTCGAAACTTCGATGACGACAGGTAGTCAACGAGCTCGGCCGCCGAATTTTGGTGCACGTCGAAGACCCGCAGTGGAGGCCGCGGCTCTTCATTGTCGTCGGTCACCTTCGCATCGTCATCGTCTTTAAGGCCGTTCCAGAGAGGATCGGGGACGGGATACCCAATCGCCTTCCAAGAGTCATTACGTCCTCTGGCATCAGCCTGCAGGAAACTGTGTATCAGATTTCTAAAGAAAAAAAGAAAGGAGCTTCTGGAAACTCTGTCAGATCTGTAGAGGCTACCCAGTGGGACACGAGGATGGACCCCAAACTGAGAGGACAGACAATCCCCGCGATCCACAAAAGAATTCCATGCTTACCTTTGTGAAGAACGCGAACATAGCGAAGCACTTGAAGAGCTTGTAGAGAGAATGAAACTGCGCGATAGAACCCCCGGACCAGCTCCGCAGAGTTCGCTCCCGATTGCTCGCTGGCAATCGCGCGAATCGGTGAAGAAATGGAAATTCGGCAGAGAATGCGTGCCTCCCGCAAAGAATGAGCGTTCCAATCCGCGAGGAAAGTAGCGACAAGACTCGCAAGACCCCGGCCTGCTGCGCGGAATCGAGGCACTCGAAGATCCAACCCGCGACCTGCTCCCAAAACGCAAGAAATCCGTGAATTCGTGCCCGCGGCAGCGAAATATCGCTCTTACCACCGCTGGAATCCCCGCATCGGACGCCGATGTCGCAAAGAACGCTCGCTGCGCCTCCTCCTCGCATTCCAAAGCTCGCAATGGCAGCGCCGGGAGGAAGGTGTCGCAGATCGCGGCCACGGCCTCCAGCTGCGGCGGATCCAAGCTGTGCGCGAATGGAGCTTGCCCGCCTTGAAGATCCGGATGCATGGCAAAACAATATAGGGTTTAAACACATCGTGAGTCACATATATAGTTTGGAGCTCCATCTTATCACTTTAATTAAAATTTATGCCTTGAGCCAGAGGTAGAGTTTTCCCATAGTTGATAGTGCTGGAAACAAGCAAAAAATGGAATGAGATCACGACATCATCCAAAGTTTTGCGAGAGAACTTTCTCACCATGTCGCTCTGTGCATGTACTGCTTCCATGAATCGCTTCCTGCTTCGCGACCGCCGCCAGTAGCCTTCTCACCGCCAAAAGCACCGCCAATCTCAGCGCCGTTTGTGGGAATGTTTACGTTAACGATCCCACAATCGCTTCCTGTTGGCCTGGACAGCATTGATCTAGAAGTTTCAGAAGAGACGAGAAACTTTCAATCGTGTTACCCGATCCACTTGAAGATTGTCTCGTGGCTCTTGGTGAAGATCGAGCTGCTGAGGCCTTGGGGGACCGAATTGTTCATGGCGATTGCCTCGTCCAGAGTCTGGAAGTTTTTGGAAACACACTGTGCTTAACGATGGAGAGATTGGTACCTTAAACTGGAAGACGTAGAGTAGCGGACCAAATAGCTCTTCTTTCACGACGTCTGCATCGTGAGAGATCTCCACAATGCTGGGAGTCACGTAGTTTTCTCCAGGTGACGTTGTGGTACCCACCCCACCGGTTAAGAATTTCCCACCCTGTAAACGATCTTAGCAAACTTTAAGAAAAAAACAACAAAGTACCTGCGATGCGATTGCTTCTAATCCCTGCTCGAAAGCTTGCTTGGACTGAGAAGAATGCAGCGGTCCAACAAGAGTGTCGTGCTTTAACGGGTCTCCAACTTTGAGCTGTCCATATGCCGTGACTAGCTTTTCGATAAAGTCTTTGTAAATTGCTTGATGCACAAACTGAGACAAACACACGACTTGAATGTTAGGAGGATAAAGAAAAAAAAAGGGGGGAAGAAATAAACGCTCGAACCAAGCGACGACAAGTCGTGCATCTTTGTCCTGCCGTGCCGACGGCAGCAAACAAGACTGACCGAACAGCGAGAGATAGATCCGCGTCATCCATCACGACGATTGCGTTGTTGCCACTCAGTTCCAAAAGACATTTGCCGAATCTGGAGTTCACGTGACACTGGACGATCTGACCAACCTGTCAGTGGAGATTTTTTCACGAGGTAAGCAATCACCTAGAGAAATCGCAAGATTTGGCACCAACCTTGCTGCTCCCCGTGAATGAAACCAAAGGTATCCGGCTGTCTTTTGCAACCGCTTCTCCAATTTCGGCCCCTCCACATATACATGTGAAGATCGCTCCGGGCAAACCGTTCCGCTCTAGCACCCCAGCTATGATTTTCGTCGTTGCGATCGATACGAGAGGTGTTGTTGGAGCTCCTTTCCTTGAGAGAAAACAACAGAGAGAGAAAGAGCAAGTTAAATCCAGGTGTTAAGCGAAGAAAGCAAAAAACAACTTACCATACAACGCAGTTGCCACAGACCAAGGCAATGCAAGCATTCCAACCTGAGAACAAAGGCACAACAAATAAAAGTTTAACAAAGAAGAAAACTCATTCATCGTACCAAGAACAGCGCAGGGAAAATTAAAAGCAGTGATGACTCCAACAATACCAAGAGGATTCCAAACCTGGACAAAGAAAAATCACTGAAATCGCGGCCAAAAGTGCAGATCACGATAAACAAACCTCCATCATCATATGGTTTGGTCCTGTAGAGAATAAGAACTAAACATTAGTAGCCAAACGCCTTTTAAATCGATAGACTTACGTTCGGATGGTAGAATCAAGCCACTTAGCTGACGGCTCAGTCCCACCGCAAAGTCACACATATCTATCACTTCCTGAAAGACGAAGAGCATCAACAAAAGTACCAGCAAATCTTTTAAGAAGAGAATGTCGTACTACCTGGACCTCTCCAATTCCCTCCACGAGAATTTTCCCCATCTCAAGCGAAATCAAGCGCCCCAGGTTCTCCAGGTTCTTCCGGAACGCATCGCCAATCTGCCTCACAATCTCTCCTCTCTTTGGAGCAGGGGTCTGGCGAACAATAAAACTTTGGATAAGTATCGGAGAAAACAAAAAACCAGAGAAGCATACCAGCATCCAGCTCTCGCGAGCAGATTCACAGGCCTTGAGGCTTCTCTCATAATCCTCCAGCGATCCTTCAATGACGGTCGCGATCGGCTAGAAATCCCCCAAAACATCGATCCAATGCGAGAAAAAACCGATAGTTCTAACCTGATTGCTCGCAGGACTGAGGCTGGACACCGATTTCCCACCCGCGCGCCACTCGCCGCCGCCATAGCAGCCTTGATTCGTCGCCTGGAGGCCGAGATCCTCGAGAAACCGGAGCTCCGGGCGCGATCCAAAATCCATGAGATAAGTGTTTTAATGCCGATTGCGTGCTGGTGCTATAAACCCTAGGGCTTTAGAGGACGCCGCGAAGCGCAATGGCGATGAAGGTGATCGCTCCCGCGAATAAGAAAATCCTTCCCTTGATGTCCAGGGTCCTCCTCAGTAAGATCGAGAGCCACGCCGAGAAAACCAAGGCCGGAATCATACTGCCCACATCACACTACTCCGAGAACGAGGTAAGCTTTTCCTTTCCTTGATCGTTCTTCTTCTCGACTAGTTTCTTCCATAGTTTCTCATCCTTGATCTACTGGGGAGTTCTCATTGTTTCCTAGATCATTTTTCTTCGTCCTTCTCAACTCCATAGTTTCTTGCATAGTTTCTCATCCTTGATCTACTTGGGAGTTTTCCTTGATCTAAGTTTTCGATTCTCTCGCAGGTAACAATGGCCAAAGTGGTCGCTGTTGGCCCCGGAGAGGTGACCGAAGGTGGGAAACTCATCCCGGTGTTCGTCAAGGTTGGGGACACTGTTTTAATCGGAGAGCATGGCGGACATAGAGTGAACGATGAGAAGTAAGCTTCCATTTCCATTCTACGTTTCTCTAACGCTTTCTTTCTCGATTTTTCCAGTTTGTACCTCTTCAGGGACGAGGACATTGTCGGAATTATTCACGACTAATGCTGCTAAACCCAAACGAAAACAATCGGATTTTTCCTTCTTCCTATGCGTAGAAACATTAGATGCCAGAAACTAGCTAGAGAGTGTCGCCGTGAGCTCGGTTTGAGAGGTTTTGCTTACTACAGGGCGCGCGGTGGTGCGATCTTTGCCATCCCGAGCCATGCGACGACACCCAAGACGAGCACAGCCCAGCCGAGAACGTCATACTTGAAGTCATTGTTTTGCTTCTTCTTCCTTCCCTGGAGAAGTGGAAGAAAAGACGAACTTTGTCAGGAGAAGCTATCTCGAAACTATCTCGAAGATCACCTTTGCCGAGAGATTGGCGCCGCCGCCACTGCCGCTTCCACCGATTCCGAGCTGCTGGCTCAGGACCTGTCTTTGAAGCTCCACATAAACATTTGGTGCCTGGCAAGCAAAGGAAAAGAAGTAAGTCCGCGGAGCTTCGAGTTAGACAAACCTTTGCAGACATTTCCAGCGATTTCATGTAGAGCTCACTCTTCGGCTCCTGCAAGGACACGCTCTAGAACTCGAAAAACACGGATTTCTTTTTCTTCTTTACCTCGTCCAAGGCTTTCTTGAAGCAATCGCTGGCTTTCTTGAAGTACTCGTTGGCCTTGCCACTGTCTGGGAGCAAGAAACCGTGGGCGGTGTGCGAGTTTCCCAGGCACCAAAGCGTCTCGTGCTTTTTGGGATTGATCGCGAGGGCCTCCCGGAGCTTGGACTCGGATTCTAAAAGCAAAGTGTAAGTGGAAACAAGCACGGATTCCAACAGCGATCCATACCTTCGATCATGTTTAGCTGATCCTGCCCTTGCCGGAAATGCGCTAGCTCCAGCAAAGCCCCGCCCCATTGCGTCAGATTCTGGACAGAAGAAAACGAAAGGATGAACGAGTGGGGAAGGGAAGAACTTCGCTACTCACATCGGCATCCTCCGGGCAGCGCGCGTAATTGGCAGCGGCTTTCTCCCTCGTCGCCTCGAAGAAAATGAGGCGCTCCATGTCCTCGCGCGAGTCCATAGCTCCCGCAGCTCAGCTACAAACCCTAATAAAGTGAGCCCAAAACTTTTTAGGTCAAAAAACAGGGTAGCAAACCTCGAGAAATTATTGACATGGTAGTAGACGCCAATCCTCCGCGGCGCTGAAGAGATGAAGAAGAAGAAACCTGGCCATCGCCAAGCTCCTCTTGGCCTTTTTGCAGCCACAGAGGTCGACACGTGGGCGGAGGATTGATGGTTCGGGGCCAGCACCTTTTATATTGTGGGAATTTGATCGTTGGTATAAACCAGGAAGAAATCCACCTCTTGGTTCAGTATCCATGGTTGTGGGAAAAATCATGGCTGGTAGTCATGGTTTCAGTAACAATACGTGTATTTTAGGGCTCACTTGCAGGACATCAAGCGCTTTAACTGGATCAGCGGATTTGGCAGTGGAGGCCACCAAGAGAGCAGCACTTGGGAGGCTATAAACAGAGGCACGTGGCTCCTACACCTTCATTCTCAGGGACTTCATCTACGAAAGAACCCTGCCATGTGGCATTAGCATTGCTTGATTTGTAGTGCTGTGCAATGAGGAAGAAGGAGAGTGGATTCTAGGCAAGAAATTGGGCCATCAGGGAGGTTTTAAAATTCCCAACTTGGAGCGCAGTCATAGGCTGTAATTTAAAAAAAGATAAATTGTCTATAAAGTGGAACAAAAAAGTCCAGTGACTAGTGAGAAAAAGCCACAAGAGCATGGCAAAGTTGACAATCACATGTCTCCTTTCTTGGTTTGCAATTTTGCATATACACTTTAACCTTATATGACTAATTTCCACCTGCCGGCCTTTGTTCAAAATTGCTTTATGTGGACTTCGCGTTAAAGCCCACCAAGCCACATGCATAGTGGACCTTATTGCCAAGGCAAAGTTGGATCAAGTTGGGGGCTTGTGGCCTAGGGTACATCGATGGAACTAACTTGCTCTTCCAGCTCAAATGTTCAGTATCTTATTTTATTACATTAAGTCACGTACATTGATTCCATCCCTTGCTCCATAGAAAGATGTTGTGTGGGATTTACACCAACTGGGAGAGAAGTCACAAATATTCATTCATTCATGTTTACAAGGTCTCACAGCACATGAGACTGATGGATTCAAATATGCCGCAGTGACAATTGACGTAGTTGTTTGTCATCCACTCTTGTTGGCGTCTATGTCATCCATCTCGTCCATTGTGGCCGTTTTTGTGGTTGTGGCTGACCTTTGTCCATGTGCTTCAGTTGGCATGGCCATGTTTTTAATATGAGCACCGAAGTGCTAGCATTTCCTCGTCCCCCTCAGCTGAGCTCCATCTCCCAGAGTTGGTCGCCCACTGTTTGCCTCCAAGGATGATATGGAGATCAGCCCCATGTCAGAGCTTAGCATACGTGGCACAGTCATTGGTCATGTGTTCGACATCCTGAACTTGCTCAAAGCAGGTTTAGCAGAATCTCCTCTCACATGGGATTTGTGGTCTCAGCTGTTGGCCTAGCTCCACTATAAGTCTGTGACGTCCCATTCTGTAGCTAGCAAGTAGACTTTGGTTCCATGGTGTGAGATCATCATATGCCTTGGATCCAAATTGACTCCAGGGGTTGACTGTCTCAACGTAAATGTCAAATATGCTGTTGTGTATGGTTCGCAAGGAACACCATTGCTGCAAGGTTTGCCACATCTAGAACTCTAATTGGTCTATCAGTTTAGTGTGTAGTGTTTCAAGATCGTCCCGAGCTTTTATCCATGTCTTCAGCTTACTTCACTACCCTTTCCCTAGAGTCTTGGCCATTCTTGTATTGTTGCATCTGCTAGCGTTTAGCGGTAGAGGAAGTAAGCACTTTTAACATATATGATGCAGCATCACCATGCTAGGATCTCTAAAGGGAGAAGACTAGATTCAAGAATGAGAATTGGGTCTGTTGTCCTGTACGCACCAAATTTTGCAGCTAAGAAGGGTTCTAGTTTGTCTCACTTGGGGTGCTAAGGCTAAGGCCCCAACATTCAACACTATACAGTATGTTTGCTTTACCCCCCACCTGTGGACCTTTGCTCAAGTCAGATTGGAGCATCACACATGTTTGTGAGACTGCTGTTATTCTCTACTCAACTCTGGTCTTCCATGGGGACTTGTGGTCTACTAGCCAAGGTATTTGTATGCTATCATGTGTTCTACTGGCTCCCCTTTATATGTGAGCACACACAGCCCAAATACGATCACCTTCGTTTTTGCCATATTACTGTGAGCCCAGTTTCATCGCAGAATGCAACTAAGGCGTCAAACTGACATTATAAATCTCTTTGGCTAATGGCCAAAAGTAGAAGATCATTGGCATATAAAAGTATATGAAGGATCATCCTTGCAAGTTGGGGAAGATGCTTGACTTGCTAGCACTACTTCAAGCCCATCAATGAACAAGCCAAATAGTGTGGGGGAGAGCGGGCATCCCCATCTAACTCCAGTGTCACAATTTACACCAAGGCCATCTTCTTACACATTCTTGTAGAGTCATCTGTATCAGCTCAAGTGAAATGTTGAGCTTATGCTGAAAGAGCTTGGCTTGTGACACCCTGTCAAATGCCTTGACAATATCCACATAGCTTGCGTAGATTGAGACATTTTGATTATAGTATAGCTTTTCAAGTGTCACTCAGAGGGTGACTAGGTGGTCTGTGCAAGAGTAGTGAGGCCTGAATGCCACATGTCCTTTGGCTTTACAACCATTCGTTTCCATCCATGTCACAAGGTGTTTCTCAACCACCTTTTGGTGAAGATTATCAACATCATGATGGTGCAATAATTCAATGGGATTGCCAAGTCTCCTACTTTGTAGATTGGGACGACTCTGTTAATGTTCCATATGGTAGGGGTGCTCCATTATCCTATTGAAGAGTTGACACAAGATGGAGGCCAACCAATTGGCATCCAACATTTGCAAAAGCTTAGTTATGAATCTACATACATTGGCTGTTTTTCACTGTGGCAAATCACTGATTGCCTCCATCTCAAGAACAGTGATACCCAGCATCCCTGTCCACTGGAACTATTCTGGTGGTGTGCTCCCGAGCTCATACATTTGGCATATCCAAACTTCTACGTTCTTGATGAATACTAGTTGGTACAGGGTGTGGAAGATCTTGTAAGCCTTTGATGGCTTGTGCTTCACCTTGTGAGTCTTTCAGGCATTGACTTGTTTGGCATGGTACCCTTGCCCATGCTAGCTTTGGAGTTTCCATTGTAGTTCATATGCCACTAGATCACCTTCATGTCAAGCATGTTATTGGCAATCTTGGTTCCACTAGGCTTTCACTGGCAGTCTGGTGTTGTTTTGGTTTCTAGCAACTTTGGGTTTTTATTGCTTGCTAAAGAACCATGTGAAATGAACAAGAGAGTGAACCTTAGGCCAACCTCCCAATGCTTAAGGTGTTATGGCTTTAAATCCCACAGGCCATGGAATATTCCTATGGTTCATGTCATTCTCCCCTCCTTCATGACCCAGCCACATACAACAGCCTCGAGAAGCTAAACGAGCCTCACATGAAGGGAGTCCAAGGCAATACAGCCATGGAAAAAAATGTGTAAATGACAACACCAACGTTGAAGAAAGAAAGCAATATAGCTTTTTCACATGACAATACAATCATGGAAACAAGAGAATGAAAATAGAACAAACAGTTCAAATCATATAGCAATATGGCTATAGAACTCAATTCTCCCCTTCCTCAGAAATGTTATCTAAGTTATAACCAAAACTTGGAAACACTCTCTTCACATTATCTTTAATTTCCCATGTAGCTTTGTCTATGGAATAACCATTCCACTGAACTAACAACTCCTTAGTTGTCTTCTAGCGTGTTTTCACCAATTTTTGAGCAAAAATATTGGCCAGACCAACCTTTTCTGCATCAATCTCTAAGACCTGGATGATGGACTGATCCACAACATCACTAGAGTGCAAACACGCTTTAAACTTGCTCACATGGAACGTCGGATGAATCTTCGAACTAGCTGGCAAGTCCAAAGTGTATGCAAGAT